TTCTATTATTATAATAATTATTGGAAAGAACTTTAAAGATTATCCAGCAGAAATTTGTGTTTAAAGCTTCTAAGATTAGTACTCATTAGCCACAGCTTAAAAACTTCTAATATTAACTCTGTGCAGGAGAAGATAGTGCAGGTTTAGTTTCTATTTTGTGAGATTGTAGAAGTCAATCAAAGGAAACAATATTAGCTAGCTAGGGAAATTAACTTATCTTTTTAAAGCCATGCTTCCAGAATCAAACTCATGTGAAGTATTAGTACTGCTTTATAAAGCCTTAGTAAGGCCACACCTGGAATATTGCATCCAGTTTCGGTCACATAGAAAAAAGGTGTTGAGACTTTGGAAAAAGTGGAGAGAAGAGCAACTAAGATTATTAAAGGCCCAGAGACTAAAGCATGAATAATGGTTGCAGGATTTGGATTTGGCTAGTCTAGAGAAAAGGGTGACATGATAGTATTCCAGTATTTGAAGGGCTGTGGAAAAGAAGAGGGGGTCAACTTATTTTCCAAAGCATCAGAAGACAGGACAAGAAAAAAAATGGATGTGAACTAATCAAGGAGAGAAGCAACCTAGAACTAAGAAGAAATTTCCTAACATTGAGAACAATCAACCCGTGGAACAGCATGCCTTCCGAAATTGTGGGTGCTTCATCCCTGGAGGTTTTTAAGAAGAGACTGGACAGTCATTTGTTTGAAATGGTATGGGGTCTCCTGCTTGAACAGGAGGCTGGAAGACCTCCAAGGTAGCTTCCAACTCTCTTCTATTCAAAGCTTCCTATACTTTTAAAAGATTTTTTTAAAAAAACGAAATGGTGGGATGGAGGAAAGAATGCTAAATTCATACATGATTCTGCACTGGGATTTCTAAAACTGTTTGCTGAATTAGTTAAAATGATCTGGTTTGTGCAGCATGCTAATTTACAAAGCTTTGAATTATTCTGTTTTCTGTTGTTTTTGTTTTTTGCTTTTAAGTCAGTACTGACTCTTGGATAGGTCCCTGCAGTTTTCTTGGCAAGATCTCAGAAGTGGTTTACCATTGTTTCCTTCCTAGGATTGAGAGAGAATGACTGGGTCAAGGTCACCCAGCTGACTTTGTGGCTAAAGTGGGACTAGAACTCACAGTCTTTAGTTTCTGGTAGTCTTAACAGTTTCCAGCCTAATGCTTTATCCAAGACACGGCTTCATAAGGAGTTGAGCAGCTCATAGCAGGAAGCTGGTAGAGCAGTAACAAGCCCAAATGCTCATCTTCAGCCTTAGCCAACCTTGTCCCTCTCCCCAAGGGCTGTGGCTGATGTCCAACTCAAACCCATGAGGGGGTCTCAGAAAGGGGAAGCTCCCACCCCACCCCCAACCTCATGCTCATCCAGATCATTGTGCTTAAGTCTGACAGCTCAGCTGCCTCATCCACTATCAAATTGCGAGAGAGACTTAATGGCTTTCAATGTTCTCTTTTTCTCAGGAGGGCCAGGATAAGTTCTTCCTTGTGAAACAGATTTCAGAATTGAGCCAATGAAAGAAAAGAAAAATCTACAGAAGAATATATATTTTTTCACCTTTTTCAGCAATACTTCCAAGATATCACCACGTGCTAAATGCGCAGAGCATATAAGTTTAATAAATAAATAAATTTTATGTTATAGTTTTCAAACTGCACTGCAGCAATGTACTATGATGGCTTCCAAGTTCCTCTTGTTCAGTTATCATTTTTAATAAAACAGAAGGGAAATTGTTGTTCAGTTATCATTTTTAATGAAACAGAAGGGAAAATGATTAAATAAGAAGAAATTATATTATATATACGTTTAGCTTTAATGAACTAGCAGCTGGTTGACTTTGTCTCGACTCACAAGCGAGGTTGGGCCAAATCAGCTGAATAATTAGAAAGGAGACCACAGGGGCAGGGATTCTCAAACTCTGGAATACTGGAACCCTTAAAGTGATCTTTTGAGTAACTCAAGTAGAATTAACGATTTCAACAGGAATTAGGCTGAGCAAAAAAACTGTCACTGATTGAAAGATGCCATATGCAGTATTCTCACACATAATCCGATTTATGGATAAACCGTCCCTCAAATTTCTAAACAAATACTATGAAAAGTGCGCCACCTGTAGATAAGCTAATCCTTAGAATTTTTGTTTGTTTTAATGTTCACAATTACCTAATTTATTCATCGATGGGCTTATTATACTTGAGTCTTTTAAAAATGTATTACCATATAAATTGAAATTTGGTGGTAAACAACTGAGTATTGAATAAATTATTCTTTAAATTTTTGCCAATCTGTAAAATTGGAAAGCTCCTGCTAAGTGCAGACATAAATTGTGATTCCAATACATGGTTATGAAAAAAGAATCCAACAAATTTATAGTCAGATATCTACATTGAGGTTTTCCGGTTTAACCGTTCACTATTTGGCTTTGGACAGGTGATACTTTTAACTTTAGTATTCCCCAACAATAATGAATGGACAATTATAGACTTGTTTGCAATACCATATAGATGAAAGATTACCACTAGACTAAATCAAGCGAGAATTAATCTAATGCAGGTAGTACTCAATGACTACAACCAGGGCCAGAATTTCTGTTGTGAAGCAAGGCAGTTGTTAAGTGAATCACACTCAATTTTATGACCTTTTTGCCATAGTAATTAAGCAAATCACTTGCAGTTGTTAAAATTATATGGTTGCTAGGCAACCCTACTCACTTTGCTTGCTGGAAGCTAGCTGGGAAGGTTGCAAATGGTGATCACATGACCTTGGGATGCTGCAGTTGTCATAGATACATCTGAATTGCAAACTGCACTAATTTTGATCGTGTGACCGTGGGAATGCTGTGATGATTGTAAGAGGAGTACTGGTTGTACGTTATTTTTTTCCAGTGTTGTTGTAACTTCGAATGGTCACTAAATGAATGGTTGTAAATTGAGCATCATCTGTAAGGAGTCAGTGTTGATTAGATGTAGAGGGAAGAATGCTTGGCTAAATAAGCCATAAGCCAAATAAGTCTGAATTAGCTGCATTTCTTTCTTATGCTTAAACATAAACTTTAAATATTTAAAGTTGACCCAAGTACTATAGTATATAATTTAAATAATATTTCAGTGTAAACTTTTAAAGTCATGTTATTATATAGCATGAGGCTGATTGGATGAAATAAACAAATATTAAATAAATAAATATTTCTACTACAGTATTGCAAAACACTATACATCCAGCAATAGATTTCAAGCTTCAGAATTCCCTTTTGATATAGTAGCCATAAATCCCTAAATTTTGAGCTACAAAATTGCAGACGACTATTAGGCAGCAGCAAACAGATACAGAAAGCCAAATCTTTGCTCAATCTTGCAGCTGTCAGGATTTACTTTGTGTATAACAGCGATCAACACAACCTTCTGCTCGTTAACACTGGAAAAATGGTAAAAACAGAACATAAAACCTATAAATTCAACAGAACGATACCCTTGATGATACAGGTCCATCATTCTCCATATGGTCTCTGGAAGAGGTGTTTTCCTCAATTTCTGGGATTCTCAAGAGGGATGCTATTGTATAAAATAAGGGGTAGAACATAAAAGTAAAATTTATAAGCTCCCAAAGGGGGACCACTAACAATTTCTTGCTCAGAAGCAAGCACTAGATGGGTCAATTCCACTAGGAGAAAGCGGTAGTGAAACTCTAAACTGCCTCTGGAAATGTATTGGTGGCCAATTCAGGACCTGGGGCACAGATGTTCTATGGTTTATGAGTTTTTGAAATATTTTTTTTTATTCCACCTTTATTTCTTTATAAGTAACTCAAGGCAGTAAACATACCTAATCCCCCTTCCTGTTCCTATTTTCCACACAACAACCCTCTCAGGTCAGAGTGACTGGCTCAAGGAAACCTAGATGGTTTTTCATGATCAAAACTAGAACTTACCGTCTCCTGGTTTCTAGGTGAGTGCCTTAAGCACTACACCAAACTGGCTTTTGCCATTAAGGCAATGTTTCCCAACCATAGTAATTTTAAGATATGTGGATTCCAACTCGCAGATTCAATTCTGGGAATGGAAGGCCATTCATCTTAAAATGTCTAGGGTATTCTGGGAGCTGAAGTTCAAAAATGGCTAAGGTTGGAAAACACTGCATTTAAAAGGACTGCTACATGCTGGGTGATTTTCTAAGGCAATCCTTACAGAGTGCATTGCAGAGGTCCAGAGGTCTTCAAACTTGGCAACGTTAAGACTTGATGGCTATCCTAGCTGGAGAATTCTGGGAGTTGAAGTCCACAAGTCTTAACGTTGCCAAACTTGGGGACCCCTGCGTAGTCTAACTGTGCAATTGGAAGCATTCCTGATGTCAAGTCTTCCCCTTCCACGCAGCGCTGCAATCAGGGGTGAAATCCAACAGGTTCTAACAGGTTCTGGAGAACCAGTAGCGGAAATGTTGAGTAGTCCAGAGAACCGGCAAATGCCATCTCTGGGGTGGGAATAGAGATTTTGCAGTATCCTTCCCCTGCCATGCCAACCAAGCGACGCCCACATAACTGGTAGTAAAAAAAATGAATTTCATTACGGACTGCAAATGACATTAATCTAGCATGTAGGGAGAAATGCTAAAGTGTGTTTTAAAAAGCAAGTGCCAGCCTTGGTGTCACAACCACAGGAGAGATTTTTCAGCATTCAACAAACATCATTCCGTAGTCGAAGTGCGGTCTCTCCAAACCAATGATTTTCTAAACCTGGCCACTTTAACATGTGTGGATTTTAACTCCCAGAATTCTCCAACCAGCATGTCGCCAAGTTTGAAAAGCACTAGTCCAAACCAATCAAATAGCAGGTAGGAATAAAGGCGAGCCAATGAGAATTTCGGATGAACCAAGCCCCCGAGCGCTTCCGTAGTGAAACTACCCTCGCAATCAGGCACAAATTATTGCACGGCGGCATAGAGGAAAGGGGCGGGGCTCAACGGTGACGTCTGTGGAGATTTTAGCACTATCATAAACAGCCGGAATGAATATTCTTCCCAAGAAGTCGTGGCACGTCGGCAACAAAGATAATGCGGCTCGCGTACGAGGGGGCGAAGCGGAGGCTGAGGTTCAGCGGCAAAAGAGAGAGGCCCGAATCCTGAAAGCTGAAAAGGAGTTTGACGTCATCAAGGGGCATGCGCAAATGCAATTATTGCTCGGCTTGGTCGGGCAATAATTCTACTGCGCGTGCGGCTACTGTCCATGTGTTTTTTGTTTGTTTGTTATAGCGAGTTTGGGGTTATGGTAATACTTTATTACNTTAATGTCACCTTGCTCGTAGAAGCAGGTGCAAGAAAGCCCAAGAGAGAAACGGTGCCTCAACAGGCAGTATTTCTACATGCAAAGAGATCTGAAGTGGATGGATTTCTCAAAACAATTTCTCTGGGGTAATTCAGGAAATGGCTCAAGACACCAAAACTAGATTGTACTGTATCAGGAACAATGAAGCTCCGTTAGTTCTAACTAACTAGTCCCAACACTTCTTCCTCCCCAGAAGAGTCCGCAGGCCCTTCCCCCTAACCAAAACTTAGCTGTTTTCAGCCTCTCCCACCATCTTCATTACGAGATGAAGAACCCCAGGCTTCAAACTCACTTGGCTGACTTCACTGTCTGTTGACCGTCCTCGTTTCTTATCATCTTCAGAGTTCTCCTAAAAAGGGAAAAGAAAGGTTAAGTACCGCAGCACAAAGCAGCATCTAACCAACTCTCTTAAGATGAGAAGCCAGTTCAGCCGCTTCATATTCGGAGGGGAGACTGTCTGGGCCTTTGAGGAGACTGAGGAGACTAGTTAAGCGACAAGCTTCGCCCAGAAGGCAGCAATGGCAAAGCACATCTTGCCGTGTGAAGTGAGTGGATGCAGCCAGCGGGCCCCGAGTGCAACTCAAAGGCATCTAATTGAGCATCGTCACAGGAAAGTGTGTCTTCCTGTGGGGTAAACATGGAAGCTGACCTAACGAAACCCTCATCAGAGTTCATGCATGGATGCTTCGTTCCCACAAACCCATGGATGTTCCCTCAGCATCTTCACCCAGGGCCCTCCTTACCGTTGTGCAGTTTGCAGGGCTAGGTGGAATTGGGGAGCTGGATGTGGTCGAGGTGGGTGTGCTGCTGGACTGGTTGAACATCTCATCTTCTATGTGACTATGGCTGGGTGGGGAAGTGGCTACCAGTGCCTGTGCTGGAAGGCCAAGAGCAAGAGNAAGTCTGAATTTTATCCAGACTTGGAAAAAAAATGAACAAGATGGCAGTTTGGTTTTTACATTCCATTGTTGTCAAAATCAAACTGCCTGCGACCTTGTTCAATTTTCTGTACTCTGTAACAACAGAAGCACCATCATTTTTTTTTAAAAAATGAAAGATTTTAAACTGAGGAACTAAATTCTTTGCCAAAATGGATTCTACTTAATCTAGGATTTGATTGAAATCAAGATCTCTTCTGCTGTTATTAAATCAGTGGAAAAAAGAAGAAAAGTGACAAGGTGTCATAAGAACATTTTTTTATTGTAAATGTTGGAAGGTCCCATTGCTGTTTCTTTTAATCTGAAGTTTACTGTTAATATGGAGGGAACAAACAAATGAGATGCAAAACTGCATGATATATTAAAGTGCCTTTTTCTGGACTTCTCTCATACATATATCCTAACAAAATTAATAATTTTCCTTTCCTTTTCTGACACAATCTTGTATATTCTGAATTGAATAATTTATCCTCACTATGATAGGCAGTCAATTATCTTGTAGGAAATTAAATAGAGCAATGTGAGAGATTAAAAAGTTGGAAAGCTGATTGTTGATGCATAGAGAATGATATGAGATATATGGGAAATGTTCAAAATCAAGGATCTGCCATTATTTGTGTTCTATTTTTTTCCAGAATTTTTTTTTATTTTTTATTCTCTTACATACCATTTTAAGTATACCTTCACATAATTGTTGTTCTTCTTTACATTTATCATTCTTATACATTTATTATTTCATGTAATAGGTTATAATATACAGTTTGGGTTCTTTGTTTACCATCCCTTCCTCCTGTTGTAATACCACCTTATTTTCCCTTTCTTTTCTCCCTTCCTCCTCTCCTTCCTCCTCTCCTTCCCCTTCCTTCTTCCCTTCCATTTCTCCTACTCCTACTCTTCCTCTTCCCCTTCTTGCCCTCTCTCCTTCTCTTCCTCTCCCTTCCTTCCTCCTCTCCTTACCTCTTTCTTCTCCCCCCTTCCTTTCATTCTCTCCTTCTCTCTCCCTTTCTTTTCTATTATTGTAGGTGTCTCTTTTAGGTCTCAGTTTATNGTGTCGGAGTGTGGAGGAGGCATCTGGTGGTGGTATGGAGGAGTCGGACAGGGATTTCGAGGCAGGTATTGCCTGTGGGATGGGGACGGGAAGGGAGAACAAGAGCAGAAAAGACAGAAATAAGATGACGAGAAAATCAGGGAATTCACAAGATTTCTGTGTGTTCTTCCCTTCATAAAGATACAGACTCCTACCATATTTTTCAGAGTATAAGACGTATCAGAGTATAAGATGCACTAAGATTTTGAAGAGGCAAATTAAAAAAAAAAAGGTTTTGCACATGCAAACCTCCCCAAAACGGCCCGTTTTTCACAAAAACAGGCCTGTTTTTTTAATTAAAAAAGGCATGCATAGCTTTTAGGAGGCTTATAGAGTGCTCCTGGGACTAAGGGCAAAAACGAGCAAAAAGCTGCCTGTTTTCTTTCTCATTTTAGCCCTCCCCCGCCTAAAAACTATGCACGGTCATTTTGTTGAAGGGGGCGGGGTTTCGGGAGGCCAAAAATGCTGTACTCAGTGTATAAGACGCACCCAGCTTTTCACCCTCTTTTTTGAGGGAAAAAGATGTGTCTTATACGCCAAGAAATATGGAAAGTGTGAGGAATAACAATCCTTCCTCAACTGATGGCTACCTGAAGGCTGGATCCTGAGGTGGTCAGGCTCCATTCCCATTCCCTCCTTCAGGCCATTCAATGGCCCGAATTCTCATCCACAACATTAGGAGCGAATCCCAAAGAGGCATTTAAAAGAGGCAACTGGGCTTTCTGGTTTTTCTTTGAAGATGTTTTGCTTCTCATCCAAGAAGCTGTTTCAGTTCTTGAGAAGCGAAACATCTTCAAAGAAGAACCAGAAAGCCCAGTTGCCTCTTTTAAATGCCCCTTTGGGACAACTGTGATTTGGATGACTGGGAACCTCCCCAGACATTAGGAGCGAATCTTCCCAAACAGGCCAGCCCACCTGGGTTTTAGGAAGTGACCCAAGGAAGAAAGAGGAACACTTTGTGTTCATNTTCCCCAAGTTATTCATATTCCAGGCTGTATGCATGTTCCAACATCACACATGAAGGTGGAAATCCTGTATTTCTGAGGAATAATTGGCATGTTGGCTTAATGTCTGTAACAACCCAGCAGAAACTGACTGAGGCTATTATTCAGTCAGTCTGCTATAGATTTTCTGCAGTTATGCTAACACGGAGCGATTCCCAAACTGTACGATGACATTGTTAAAAAAAAAACTGCTTTTGAAAACCTGTCTAGAATAGGAATGTCTGGGAGTGGGAGGGTGTGGGAGCCTACAGATACAGGTAGTGATAACAGTTTGTTCAGTAACGCTTCAAAGTTATGTCAGCGCTGAAAAAAGTGACATGATTATTTTTCATCCTCATGACCATTGCAGCATCCCCATGGTCACAAGATTTACCTTCAAATGCTTGACAACCGGTTCATATTTAATGATAGTTGCAGTGTCCCGGTGTGTGTGTGTGTGTGTGTGTGTGTGTGTGTGTGTGTGATCACGTTTTACATCCTCCTGACAGGCAAAGTCAATGGGGAAGCCAGATTCATTTAACAACCAAGTTACTAATTTGACAACTGCAGGGATTCACTTAACATGTGACAAGAAAAGTTGTAAAGTGGGGCAAAACTCACTTAACGAATTTCTCACCTAGCCCACAGAAATTTTGAGCCCCATTGTGGTCGTTACGTCGAGGGCTACTTGTAATGTTTTCAAAGGGGAAAGAAGAAAGTAGCAAGATATTCAAAACTATTTCTCAGTTCCTGAAAGTTAACATGAATGAATTTTATCTTTTGAATTATTTAGATCCTGAACTGCTTAGAACTTTAAACACATTGAAACTGAACCTGTACCTGGAAAAACATGCGATGGTGCTGGTGAGACTGCAGTTACTGGGGTCCAGCTGCCAGGCTTATAGAGAAAAAAAGTTATATTGAGAGGAAGGGAGGGAAGAGGAGCAAAAAGAAGAAAATACTCACGTGGAAGCACTGGGTGGGTTGTGTGACGTTGTCTGGTTAGGCAATGACTGATTGCCGCTGCTTAGTGTAGAATCCGAGCTGCTGTCAGCTACCACGGAGCTGTAACCTGGCAGGAGACAGAAAGGCTAAAGNAAAGTAAAAGCCTATTTAAACTGCAGTGTCTCTGTATGCTGGTTTGTGTGTTCTCCAACACTATTCTCACAACGCTTTTCTGGCTGGGGAATTCTGGGAGTTGAAGTCCATAAGCCTTAAAGTTTCCAAGTTTGGACACCCCTGCTATAAAGCATAAATTCAAAAAGCAGGGAACAAAAAGCAAGAGCAATTTTCTCAAGCAAGAGCGAATATTGCCAGGAATTATGCAAAATTAGCAAGCTCATCTTTCTGGTTAAAAAGGTAGCTTGAAACAAAAGAAGAATAGAATTCAAGCAATCCTCCATTTACAACAGTTTGCTTAATGATAATTCGAAGTTACAATGGCACTGGAAAAAAGAGACATTATCGTTTTTCACACTTATGACCGTTGCAGCATCTCCATGTTCACGTGATTTACATTTGGACGCTTGACAACTGCCTCACATTTATGATGGCCCAAGGGTCTAGAATATAAAATGAGAGCAAACCCTTCTAGCACTGATAGTGTTATCTAATTTGGTTAAGGTCTGCAAAAAAACAACCAACCAAGCACCAGGGACCTCCCAGTTCTACCCCAAGATACAAATATTCTCTTCTATCGATATTACTCTTCATGTGATCACCCCCAATGTATTTGAAGACTTCCTTTTGTCCAGCAAAACAGCCATTTTTCAAAGAAAGGCTCTGACAGCCATTTTCCAAGGTTTCTCTTGGGGTTGGTGGTTCTGCACGCAAGTCAATAGCCTTTAACATACTTATTACATTTGATTAGCTTTATAGGCAGTCCTTGACTTACAACACATTTGTTTAATGGCAGTTCGAAATTACAACACTGGAAAAGGGATTGTCACCAGTTCTTGCCATCCCCCAAGGTCATGTGATCAAAACTTGGGCACTTGGCAACCTGCATGTGTTTACAACAGCGGAAGGGTCCTGAGATCACATGATCGGCATTTGCGACCCTTCTAACTGGCTCCAACAAGTGAAGTCAATGGGGAAAGCCAGATTTGCTTAATGACCACGTTTCACTTAAGAACTGCAGCATTTTGTTTAACAACCATGGCGAAAAAGGCCACAGAATCAAGTGTGCAACTCACTTAAGAACTGCCTTACTTAATAACAGAAATTCTGATCCTGGTTGTGGTTGTAAGTCAAAGATGACCTGTATGCTCAGGAACCATTAAGAGAAGATGCTGGACTAATTTGAAAACTACATCAACAATATAAATTTCAGAGAACTCCAAAGTCCAGCCCAGCAGCCTTCCCTCATTTCTCAGAGGAGATGGTCTATTNTGCTCCTTTTGGTGCCCTGACAAGCATTTGTCAAGCAGAGCAGAAGTGTGGTCAGACAGAATCTAGCTACAGTCAATCTGTTTATTTACCTCAACGTCCAACCGACAGCACACTTTTCCTTCATGAATGAAGGCGAATATATGTGTCCCAAGATAATGTTGCAGGATCCGAACTGAGTTGGTCACTGGGACTAGGGCTTTAGTCTTCCAAGCTTTTGGACTCATGCTGGAGGCTTGTCCTTAGGAACTTCTCTGTGTGCTTTGGGCTGTTCTGTGTATTGGTGCCTGTTGTGTGTAGCTTTTTAAATGTAGATTCAGGGTGTTGGAAGGCTGGCTATTATTGGCTGTTGTTTCCTTGTGCTGCCAAGTCCCTGTCTCCTAAGTACTTGGTAAGTTGGGGATAAATCAGCACTCCTGTTGATTGACAACGTGCCTGTTTCCCAGGCTTCAATCACCTCCCTGGCTGTTTCTGTGCCTGCTTTTCCAACAATTAGTAGCTGCAAAATTGAATGTATGACCTTGTCTATTCATCTGACTGCTCACTTGAGTCCTTGCAATCCAGCAGTTAGTGGATCCCGTGCAGGGGTCCATTAACTATTGTAGGACAAATGAGGAGGAAGCTGCCCAACAGATTCCAAGGGATTTACCCCCAGGTTATCAGGTATTTTGGAAGCGGGGGAGGGGAGGGAGGGGAACAGACTTTGCAGCACAAGGAACCAACAGCCAACGGCAGCCAATGATAGCCAGCCATCAAGACCCCAATCTACATCTGAAAAGCTACACACAATAGGCACTAAAGTGCACAGAGAAGTTCTCTGAAGATGGGCTCCAGCACGAGTCCAAAAGCTTGGAAGACAAAACCTCTGGTCCCGTTGACTGACCCAGGTTGGATCCTGCAACATTTTTCCTTGCCTCTAGCATGTTATTTGCAACCTCTCCCTCTGCCAATCCCAGGGAAAAGACTAGAAGGCACCTTCTGCANAAGCAGAAGTCCTGGGGCTTTCAGTGGGCCTGGTTCCTTGTCATGCAAGAGCCTCAGAGAATGTTACTTGAAGTTTACAACTTTGGCAATTTAGGAGGAAGCAGTAGGAAGTGATGGCCTATTCTTGCTGTGTCAATACAGAATGGAGAATTATTGTTTGAACCTCCATTTCAGATTTTAATCTGAACCCTTGCATCCTGGATATAAATTGTTTCAACTCCTACCTCAAAACAATGCAATAGAGCATTCATTGCACACCATGACAACTAGACACAAAACAGTTTTTCCCCAAACGCCATTACTCTGCTAAACAAATCATTCCCTCAACACTGTCAAACTATTCATTAAGTCTGTATTACTATTAATCTCCTCATTGTTCCTATCACCTATCTCCTCCCACTTATGACTGCATGACTATAACTTTGTTGCTTGTGTCCTTATGATTTCCTAGTATGATTTGATTGCTTATTTGTACCCTATGACTATTAAGTGTTGTACCTTGATTCTTATGATTTTTGAAAAATGTATCTTGTCTCTTTATGTACACTGAAAGCATATGCACCAAATTAAATTCCTTGTGTGTCCAATCACGCTTGGCCAATAAAGAATTCTATTCTATTCTTATTCTATTCTAAAAATAAGAGGGCCCCTTATGACCTGTATGATAGCTAAACCCTGCATTGCTGCAATGAATACAAGGTCGTGGCTGATGCTAATCTGAATACAGTTGGGTTTCTTTTCTTTTTAACTATTTTTACAGATAGTCTTTGACTTACAACTGGTTGCTCAGTGGCTATTCAAATTTACCACGGATGTCCCCAGGCCTACAACCCAGATTCAAAGTTCTGATGCCTTCCCTCCACCAAATTGCCTTTTGAGCATTCAGCAACCTCCCGTATTTATGGCTGCTTGACATAGCAAAAAACACCCATTGTGCACAATGGATTCATCTAATGACTGCAGTGTTTGCTTAACGACCACTAAAAAAAAAGTGTAGAGTCAGGAATAGTCACAGGGTGACCTGCTTAATGACTGGCATGATTTACAACTGTAATTCTGGGTTCAAGTCAACACTACCTGCATATATAATTTCCCCTCACAAAATGCCATGTTGCGAGAAGTGTTCTGCTCAAAATGGACACATACATGCATAGTTGAGCTCTTCCTACGAGGAATGGATCCTTAGTCCTTGCTAATAGAGGTAAAATTGCATCGACGGGCCCATCTTCCGTTACCTTCACCCTCACCTGCTCAAACTCATCAGTGATGGTCTTAGGTTCTTCGTGCCGCTGAAACCACATCATGTACTTNAGCTTTTTCCACAACTGGCTGCCCTCTGGATGAGCTGCACTTCAACTGGCTGTCATGCCTGACAGGATTTACAGGAACTGAATCCCACACACCTGGATGATAGCTAGACTGCAGGAGATTGTCCTCTATTGGTAAAACAATAGTCTACATCAGGGGTATCAAACTCGATTTCATTGAGGGCCACATCAGAGTTGCATTCGACCTTGGGGTGGGGGTAGGTGTGGCCAGCTCGACGCCACTCATGTCAGGAGTGCCTGTGGTGGCCTGAGCACTCTGCCAATGAAAACGGGCTCCCGAGCTCCATTTTCGGCTGGGACAGCCCCCTGCAGCCCCCTGCCAGTGAAAATGGAGCTCCAGAGGGCTGCATGTGGCTCTCCCGAGCCATGTTTTCGCTGGCAGAGACCCCGTAGGCTAGTCCTTCGCTCTTTCCAGGGCAGCCCTGTGGGCCAGATCTATGCATCCCACCGACTGGATCCATCTCCCGGGCCTTGAGTTTGACACCCCTGGTCTACATACAGGTAGTCCTCGGCTTTATGACTGGCCGCTTAACAACCATTTGAAATTACAACAGACCTTCCCAGAGCAATTTATAACCTGTTGTCAGAGTTACAATGACTATATTTCCGCCTGTGGTCACGTGATGGCATTTTGGGGGTTTGGCAGCCAGGTCATCTTTACATGAAACCCAATTTACATTTTTTGCTGGTTTCCAGCGTTTATTTCAATTTTTCAGTAAAAAAAACACCCATTGGGGAAAATTGATTAGTTTAATGACGGTGGTCTTCACTTAGTGACTGCAGTTGCTCATTTGGATGCCTCATGTGGATGTCTCGCCTTAAGACTGCAAGACTACAACTGTTAATTCTGGGCTCAATTACAGTTGTAATTTGAGGACCACATACACTGAGCTCACCGTGGAAGTAACAGCAAAGATATACAGGTAGTCCTCGACTTACAGGAGTTCATTTAGTGACCATCCAGAGTGACAAGGACAGTGAACAGTGAGTTATGACCGTTCTTCACGCTTACAACGGTTGCAGCATTCTCATGGTCACACAATCAAAATTCAGATTCTTGGCCACCGACTCATACTTATGACACTTGCAATGTCCCGGGGGGTCATGTGATCCCCCTTTTGAGACCAGCAAAGCCAACGGGGAGGCCAGATTCACTTAACAACCGTGTTACTAACTTAACCACTGCAATGATTCACTTAACAACTGTGGCAAGAAAAGTTGTAAAATGGGGCAAAACCCGCTTAACAAACGTCTCACCTTGCAACATAAAATTTTGGGCTCCATTGCGGTCATAACTCAAGGACTGCCTGTATAAGCAAAAGCTCATCCATGTGTCCCAAACAACGGGGAGAAGCTTCTTTTAAAGGTCGTGTTCTGCAGCATGACTGCAGGCTCTACACCCCAGGAAGCCTGGAAAACCCGAAAGAGGAGCCACCCCTGGGGCCCGTCTGCAGCAAACTCACTGGTTGCACCGTTCTGCTTGCTGGCGTTCTGCTGGGTGCTGGGAGGCCGGGGCTGGGAGGCGTTGGTGCTGGGAGGCGGGGGCGCCACAGCCTGCGCGTAAGGGGTTGGGGTAGTCGATGCATGCCCTGCCGGAGGGTTAGCTTTGCTGCTTGCATTCCCGCTGCCAGCAACGGCCCCGTTGCTGTTGGAGCCAGACCCATTGCCCAGGGAGGACGATGTGCTAGAGCTGCCGCCCATTGGGTAGCTGGGAGGGATGGTGGGAGGAGGCTGGTGGTAGTTGTTGTGGAGGCCTTTTGAACCGTTCTTTGCTGGGGACTAAGGCAGAACAGAGAATGGAAGGTTTTCATTTGTCCACCCCAAGAATCCCCACTTTCTCTGATCCAACGGGGGAGACTCCAGGCCATTCATATCTCAAAACCAAATACACAATGGAAGAGATTAAAAACAAATCAATTACAGGTAGTCCTCATTTACCGACTGCTTATTCGACAACCGTTCAGCGATACAGAGGTAATGAACAAGTAGGTTTATGACTAATCCTAGAACCTGTGGCTGTCGCAGTATCCCATGGTCATTTAAGAAAATGACAGAGTTGAAGGGGACCCTGGAGGTCTTCTAGTCCAATCCCCTGCTCAAGCAGGTGAGCCTATACCAGGGATAATCTATAAGCACGGTCAACTTAGGTATTCCCAATTTTTTGACATTTTATTTTCTATCTTTACATTTTTTAAAATGTTTTTATTCTAATAAATATTAGTAAAATATTAAAAAAGAAAATAGATTTAATGTATTATAATTGTTTTTTGTATTTTTTTGGGGGGGGCGGGGTGCTTGGCCACCAACATGCATTTACAAGTCGCAGTGTCCCAAGATCAGGATTACAATTTTCACAGTGGGCTTCTGAGAAGCAAAGCCAATGGGGAATACGGCAGGAAGTTGCAAGTCACAGTTACACATCACGCCTAACGACTCTGGGGATTCATGCAACGACGACAGTCAGAACTGCCGTCATAGCTTGGGTGGACTTATGTGATGTGTCACTTTATGACCACAATGCTTATGACGCAGTTGCCAGTCTCAACTGTGGTTGGTGAGGACTACCAGAAAATAACAAATAGGATTGCAAAAAAATTTTTTTACCCCCACATCAGAAAGACAAAACCAGAGGGATTTTCAAATTCTGACTCCCTTATCCTTCCTCAGAAATAGCCAAATGAAGCATTTCAGTCGCACCCAAGTACAGAGCTACCTGTCTTTGAAATTCATACATGGAATTGGTCAAGTGAAATGNAGAGTCAGCATATTGCCCCCAACATTCTGGGTCCTCATTTTAACACACCTCGGAAGGATGGAAGGCGGAGTCAACCTTGAGCCAATGAGAATCTAACTGCCGAACTGCAGCCACTCTAACCACTGCACCACCTTGGCTCTTATGCGTGGGAGTTACATTTTGGTGGCCAGGGCTATATTTAACTTTGCTAGGAATAGAAGGATCCAATTGCAACGAAGGGGACCAGGTTATCTGAGGAACCGTCTCAGCCTAATAGGATTGGCTGCCCCACTCATTTTGGCAGAAGGGACATGCTGTGAACTTCAATCAAGGAGTTTTGGCTACAAGGTCTAGGAGAAGGGCTTTATCTCTTTGTTCTATGGAGGTACCTACCCTTCTGCCTTCCAGAAGACCATTAAAACATTGTTCTTCTAGTTAACTTGGGGTCTTGATGGGGGTGCTCTATGCTTGAGAGGACTGGTGGAGTAATTGGGAAGATGCCATCAATGTGCCACTCTTGCTTTTGGTTTTCTAGTTTTGTACCCAATTCTTATTAATTTTAATATTTTAAATCCATCCATCCATCCAATGGGGCTTTATCCTACATGTAGGCAGGACTGGGGTTTTTCAGTGTGTAAATTGGCAATTTTCAGCTGCATTTAAGAACAAAGATTCTTGATGGTACACAAAAACAAAATCGAATTAAAAGATGGAGGATCACCATCGAGCCAGGAATAACATTAAAGGAGGATATGCCTGAAGGATCCACCTCCCCTATAGTACTTAAGAGGACCCTGAATAGGTTTGTGAGTTGGAGTGCCTAAGTGTGAAAGCAGTATGCTCAAGTGGGAAGCTCTTGGCAGATAACAAATACGCTGTGTGAATATGGAGAGACGCAGAGCCCGCCCCATCTGCTGGTATGTCAACATGTACTGATAATGACTTATATTTGGCCAAAGACAAAATCAAGAAGGTGACTTCATTCTAGCAGTTTAAAAGTTTGATCTAGACATGGAAGACGCATTTAGGATTTAAATTACAGTTTTAGGTACTTTCTGCTTCAAAATACTGGTAAATGAAGTTACTGGATTTCAGCAGTAGGAGAGCTCTCTCTTCTCATACGAGAGGGAGGGGAGAGAGGGAGAGGGAGAGGGAGAGGCAGACAGAGACATAGATTTGCACAATTTCCACCCATCATAGCTCTCCAGACACACAGGCTTTTGATGCAGAATCTAGCTTTTGACACCCAGATCCTGAACTTCAGACATTTTCCACTGGTTTGGCCTTTTTCCTGACCCATAGCTTAAGGGAGGAGATGGCCCTTTTCTCACTTACCCCTTTCAGCCAAGTGAAGAGATGGCACGGGGTCTTCTATGCTAGAGCTGATCGCTGCCCTCTCAGCCATGGATTTCAACGCACTTAGAGGTTCAGGCGCCTACAGGACAAAAGAGACACCCAAAGGAAAGGACGTAATGAAGAAAGAAGGTGCAGATATGTGTTTAAGAATTCTGCTAAAAACAAAATGAATAAGCAAAGTTTGTGAGAGATCTCAAGCCAATCATGTTTTCTCTGGTTAGCAAACCTTACAGAGCTGCTGAAAGGCTAACATGGAACAAANTTACGAAAAAATATCTTAACAGCGGCGTGGGCAGGATGCTCCAGTTCAGGGGGCTGGTTGAGAAGAGAGATCAGTCCCCCCTCCCCCCCTCCCAAGTTTCCCCAAATGTCTCCCTTTCCAATTAGGAATAAATTGCAAGTCATATTGAGGAGAGTGGGGGTGTCTTCCTGTGAGAGGAGCAGCAGTTTAGATACAAGCTCTTAAATTTACGGTGGCAATATTTTGGAAGGCTGGAAACGAAAAGCAGTGTTTGGAACCAGGGGGGGGGGGGGGGGGAGAAGGGAAGAAGGTAGAATCTCTAAAGTCATCATTCCAGTCCGCAAAGGGACTCTTCCAAATGAGGATTAAGGGCATGACGACAGTAAATGGCCTTTAAGGGGTTTTCCTTACAACTTGCAAAAAAAGCAAGTCAAAAATTATGGCCAAAAACAGGTGCCAAATCCAACAGACCTTCCGTGGTCACCAGGAGCCTTGGTAACTTGAGGTTTCATGCTTCCAAATTTGCAAATCCTATTATCATTTTTTGCCAATTTGCCGTTTCCAGCAGTGGCAAGTAGATGAAGGGGTCAGAGAACGGTCACCACAAAGCTTCATGGGACCTGATATTGTAAAAAAATCATACTTGGGCATCTAGCCAAAACGGGGGACGGGACAGGGTGGAGTTTGCACCCAAAAAAAAAAAAAAGTTACAGGGCTGAAATGCTCTTATTTAGAACACACACACAAAAATGGAGAACGGGGGAAGCCACTCTTTTGGTGGGATTCTCAAATTCTTTTTTTTCCTTTTAATCTCCATTATGGCACCCAAATCTGGTGCGTAGGAAGGGTGTTCCCCCCCCTCCCACTTCTGACCTCTTCACGGGCAGAAGAGAGCAAAGAAAAAAGGCAGAGGAGAAACCTGCCGCTGCCGCTGCCCCTCCTCCTCCGTCCTGCGGTCATTTTTAAAACTTGCATGCATTTTTTTTAAACATGCGGCTTGCCCCCTCCCACCCNTAAAACATTTTGTATAAGTTTTCTTTGTAAGCTGTTGACATGGTTAATTTATAGTTCCTTTCCCATAGTTGTTGCCACTTTTCTAACTCAATCGTATGACCAAAATTCCTTGCCCAAGTTACCATTGTATCTTTAACCACTTCTTCTAACCTAGTTCTTAGTAGGTAGCTGTATAGTTTCTTGATTATTTTTTCTTCCGTTTCTGTAAGTATCTTATCCAACTCCGAATTCCTAAGTTAAAACCCTATTTATTCCCTTTTACCTTTTTCATATCTTGATTGTATTTGCAATTGTGAAAACCATCCTATATCAATCACTTGTTTTTCTAATTCTTGTTTTTGTTTTAGTTCCCCTCTTTCTGTTAAGATATCTTTGTATCTAATGATATTTTTCATACCACTAATATTTGGATGTGACTTTCCTTGTTGAAAACCACATTGGTATTTCTAAATAGTGTTTCCCTTTCACCCTTTCTCATATTGTTAACAATCTATCCCTTACATAATGTCTTTGAAAATAACCATGTGCCTTACTTTTACCATACCACAAAAAAGCATGCCAACCTAGTTGCAAATCATGACCTTCCAATGTCAATAATCTTGTATTACTCAGTAGGATCCATTCTTTCATCCAAGCTAATCTGGCTGCTTGATAATATAATTCCCAGTTTGATCATCCAAATCCACCTTGAACTCTTTCATCTTGCAACATTTTTATATTAATTCTTGCTTCCCCCTCCAGCCATATATATTTCCCCACTATTTTATTCATACTTTCAAAATATTTTTTCTCTAATTTTATTGGTATTGTTTGTATAGCAGTATAGCAGTATATTCATCTTTACTACTGCTATTCTTCCCATCAATGATAATTGTAGGTTTTTTCATCTTTTCAGATCTATTTCTATTTGTTTTCTCACCTTATAATAGTTATCCTCCTTTAGGGTTACACACCTTGAAGTCAATTGAATACCCAAATATTTCACTTTTTTCACCACCTATCTGTCCAGTTTCCCCATCAACTCTCTTTTCTGTTTTTCGGTCATATTTTTCACCATAATTTTTGTTTTATCTTTATTAATCTTCAAGCCCGTTACTTCTCCATATTCTTCTACTATTTCAGTTAGTTTTGGCCCTGTTTCTATTGGATTTCATAATAAACACCAAATCATCTGCGAGTGCTTGTAATTTATATTCTTCTTTCTTGTATTGTATTTCATTTTGATCATATTTATGAATCCCTCACCAAATCCCATAATTTGAAATTGCATTATCATAAATTGCCAGTTCACATTATCAAAGGCCTTTTGTGCGTCCAGAGATAACAATGCCATTATATGTGCTCTTGATTGTATTACTGTACTGCTATCATCTGAGGAGATCTGGTATAGTCTAATTTAAAGGTTAGCTGATTTATTCATATTCTATTTAAACAGAATAATTAAATGTAGACTCTGGCTCGAATGTGTTAGATTTATTTTTATTATCACCTTACTTGCTCTTGATTTGAAACACACAGAGGCTTTCACACTATTTAGGAGGTTGTCTTGGGACAAATTGACCTAAGTATAAACCTTGGATAAATATCTGCCTTTGATTTTAGGCCCGGACCGAATTCTTACGGAAGAAAGCACGTCTGTCAGAAGGTGATAAGAGTGGCTCAGAACTTGTTTCTTTGGATTCAGAAAAGTCCTCAGGGCATCTTAACCTCTTTCAGGGGTCGCAAGAGAGTGGCAACAAAGAATATGAAGAGGAGAAGAAGCAGGAAAAGGTAATTGTGGAAAAGTAGGAGTGCAGTTTGCCAAAAATCTGTTTACCTAGTTTACCTAAGTGGGCACTGAAAGCCTTAAGATAGGCAGGCTCCTGTTGATGAGTTCTAAGAACGAAGTATGGACCGTAGTATTAATATTTAGGTACACACCTTTTAAATAAATCTGCTTGTTGGTGAATAGAATCCTGATTTAGAAGGTTTTTTTTTTAATCTAAATGCATTATTTTTTCCTGATAATCTAAACGACCGGGCTAATATGTCAATGTAATATGTCAGTCATCCAGGCAAACGTGTCTGAAGGTTGAATCATGACAACTGGATTCAACTTTCAGACACCTTTGCCAGGATGACTTGAGAGTTTTTGCATTGACACATAGCAACACATTTTGGAGAGGAAACCACTGAAGTTGTGTGAAGTTTATACATTCCAATGACTCTTCGCCTAGCTAGCTTGCTCTGACTGATGAAACTGCCTTGAGGAGCACTGAAACGTCTCAAATGAACAAAAATATTAGTCCTGTTGATATTATTCAACTTTCACACAACTTCAGCTAACTTTTGTATCCTAAATAATCGTGTTCTTATACTTTAAACCACAGTAGCATAATGTCTAGTGGTTACTGTTAATTAAAACCTGTCAGGAAAAGGGTGATTATTAAGTGATATTCTGAATTGGATCCCAGGGTGTTCACTGAATCCACAGTAAGCAGTTTGCTTTACAGAAGGAAAATAGGGAAATACTCCTTTGATTAGAATTATATACCTGGGGCACTAGAATATGTGTGTGGGGGATGGATGGATGGATAGCATGAGTAATGTCCTTAATTTTTTACCCTTTACAGGAACGAAAAGAAAAAGCTCTAGGAATCCTGACTTATTTGGGCCAAAGTGCAGCAGAGGCTCAAACATCCCTTCCATGGTACCAGGAGCTGCCAGATCGTAGCAAAATCAATGCCAAAGATGAGAAACTTAAGGGAAGGCTGGACCCCCTGGCTGAGATGGGGAAACATTTATACAAGAAAAAGTGCTCTAATAAAAAGGGAGAAAAGAAAGAAAAAGGAAAACCAAAGCACAGCGAAAGCAAAGGAAACCTAGCACTTAGGTAGGTATCCCTTTTGTTGTGCACTCAAGAAAATTGTCAATATCGAGCAGCAAATGGCTGTTCGGTGAGGCAGTTTCTGTTTTTGGAAGGGATATCACCCTGCAAAGCAGAATGTAGGGTGGTGGGTCTACTGGTATTTAAAGATTAGATCTGATTTTGTTCATGGCTGCCAGGTTACCTTTGTGAGGCCGGTGTTTTATTGGGATGCAAACTGGGTTGCATCTTTTGCTTGCCTGGAATACAGCCAGCTTATATGTAGCTATTATAGGATCACAGGGTATATGCTGAAGGTACACAACAGTGTCAGCCATATTGGAGTTAATCTGATTAAAAGAATAGCCCTTCTAATTCTGCAGAACCTCATATTCTATGCACGACAATATTATCTGCTAGTTTTAACCAGGCCCCAGGGAATATAAAACCAGATCTGTACTACTGGTAGTGCTCGACTTATGACCACAATGGAGCCCAAAATTTCCATTGCTAAGCAAGACAGTTGTTAAGTGAGTTGTACTGCATTTTATCACCTTTTGGCCACAGTTGCTAAGCGAATCACTGCAGTTTTTAAGTGAATCTGGCTTCCTCCATTGACTTTGTTTGTCAGAAGCCAGCTGGAAAGGTTACAAATTGTGATGGCGTAGCTTTGGGGCAGTGCAACTATCACAAATTCATGCCCCTTGTCAAGCGCCCAAATTTTGAACAAGTGATCATTGGAGATGCTGCAACAGTGTAAGTGCTGCAACGGTGGTAATACCATCATGACACTTTTTTCATTGGCACTATAACGTCAGATGGTCACTCGATGAATAGTTGTATGTCGAGGACTAATGCTTATATACCATAGTGCAGTGATGGCTAACCTTTTTTACCTAGAGTACCAAAAGCACACATGTGCCCACCCCCATAATGTATTGCACCTCCCATGCACCCCCCCTGCACATCTGGGTGTGGCATCCCTGCGCTCCCCTCAACCCATGTGCATGCCCCCCCATACTTGCCTTGCAGATATGCACGCACCCCCCCTCCTTTTGGCCTCCCATCCCAAAACAGCGCTGGTGGGAGGGAAAGCCTCCCATCCCAAAACAGCGATGGGGAGAGGAAAAAAGCCTCCTGTCCCAAAACATCACTGAGAGGGGGAAATCCTCCCTTTTCAAAACAGCACTGAGAGGGGAAATCCTCCCTTTGCAAAATAGTGCTGGTGATGATGGGGGATTTCCTGAGATCTGGGAAGGCACAGACTACGGAAAGTGGGGAGAAAGGTATGCACATGCGTCTCCCGCCTGCAGGGTAAACCCAAAAATTAGCTAGCCAGCAAGAGGCATACGTGCTGGGCAATGGCTTGCGTGCCCGCAGAGAGGGCTCTGTGCCACCTGTGGCACACATCCATAGGTTTGCTATCACGGCCATAGTGCTTTACAGCATCTCTGAGCAGTTTACAAATATTAACATATTGGCCTCAACAATCTGGATCTTCATTTTACTGACCTTGGAAGAATGAAAGGCTGAGTAAAACTTGAGCGCTGCCAGGATCGAACTCTGGCTGTGGGCAGAATTACCCTGCAATACTGTATTCTAAACATTGCACCACCATAGCTCCTACAACCTGTAATTCCTTCCCTAAAATTCAGTGCATACTTGGAGATCCCAAAATCCCTGATTATTGAGGAGATAGAATTTAGGCAAACCATATCTCTGCCTCCCCTTGTGGATTGTTGAACTTTCCTGGGTCCCATCTCTCTTCCTTTTGCTTTCCCTTTTCCTTTCTAGGTGCCCATCTTCTTCCCCATCATGCTCTGTGGAGCAGCTCCGCCAGGAAAGGTTGCAGAGGGAACAGGCAGAACGAGCTCGAACCGAATCTCTTCTTGCCCAGAGATCTGGAATGGGTCCACGCCGGGAGGAAGAAGAGGAAATGGATGAAAGGAAACGTGGCTACAACTCACAGTTCAACCCCCAGCTGGCAAGACAGAGCAGTGAAAGACAGTCGAATTGAGTGGGTATAAAGCAGGAAATCTGGTTAGTCAAACCTAAGTTCTTCAGCTGAAAATGTTGAGTGCAAAATGCTTCATAGAATTTCTGGCCGCAGAATTTCTGATTGTACAGCTGTAGAATTTAATTTGATTTTGCACTTAATAACTGCAGCTAGATTGTTGGTGGCGCAATANTGATCCACCTGCATGTTCAAGGTGTCTATTGTATTCTGGGAGGGAGGGAGGAAGGAGAGAGGAAGCAGACAAAGAGATCATTATCCAGATTACAGATTAACAAGAATTGGGAGGTCATCTAGTCCACCCCCACCCCGCCCAAGCAGGAAACCCTACACCATTCCTGACAAGGTTACTTAGCTATGCAGGAAAAAGGAACAAACTAGACTTGTTAATGAAGCAGATCACTGCCGACCACCTAATGGGTAAAAAATAATAATTAATCTACAGGGATTTTCAACTGGAAAGCCCCAGAAATTCTGGGAGATATGTGAAAAATTGAGAGCATATGGGGTAACGAGCGAAAAGTGGCCTCAAAAGAAGGCCGAAGTCAGCTGGCCAGCTGACAAGGCAATGCCTCACGTGCTCTGACAAATGGCTCTGTGTGCCACCTGTAGCACGTGTGCATAGGTTCGCCATCACGGCTATAGTTTACTGAAGCCTCCGCACCCTTTGCTGCAAAGAGGTAAATTGCTGGGAGGCAGAGGCCAAAGGGTTGGGGACGGTGGGTGGGTGGGGCTACATTCAGTGTATAAGACGCAACCAAATTTTCACCCTCTTTTTTTTGGGGGGGGGAGAAGGTGCATCTTATACTCTGAAAAATATGGCAACTCCCAGCCTATGGTCTATTTTCTAAAATATGTTTTATCAGTTATCAGTTGCTGGGTAGCATAGAGCAGACATTTGTACAATAGAAGTGTTTCTGGTGGCTGTCTTTAAAAAGACCATCTGATTTATTTTAAGAATGACATTTCCTGGGCCACAGTCCATAGATCTGATGAAATGATATCTTGAATGGCAGAGGCTGTTTCCTAATGAGGCTTCTGCAGGGCACTGGGCTGCTCTGAATGCCAGCAACAGACTTCTTATTTTCTGGGCTATTGTTTTCTACCATTTCTGGTTATATGTACGTACATGAACAGTATATATGTGGAGGGGAGGGAATGTTTTCTGTGTTTTCTTCATTTAATTTGCTCCTGATCTCAGTGTTGCCCCATTCTCCTTTAAATATACAATGAGGAAAGCACAGATGGTAACAATTANGAGACGCTTATGCAGTCAGGCAGAAACATTATGGCCAGTTAAGGAAAACACAGAAAACTTATCTTAGTATATTTGAATTCTAGATCAGGGATGTACCTGGACCGGCCCTGGGCTCTGGCATGCCAGAAACCGGGCCAGGCAAAGAAGCAAAGCCCTCTCTGTGGGATGCTGGCAGCATGAAATCATGCCTCCCCCCCACCCCCCGGTCTGTGGAAAAACCTCTCTCCACAAAACCCTCCCTGGTGCCCAAAAGATTGGGGACCACTGTTCTAGATGTTTAAAGTGCAATAACCACGGTAGATTTTGTAAAATATAACAATTTTTTTGCACCTTGCAGGCTAACCAATGTCTTATGCAAAGCTTTCATGGATCACACTTACTCTTACACAGGTAGTCCTCAATTTACAACCATTCGTTTAGTGACCATTTAAAGTTACAATGGCATCAAGTGACTTATGACCGTTTTTCACACTTACGACGACCGTTGGAGCATACCCCATGGTCCCATGATCAAAATTGAGATGCTTGAAAACTGGTTCATATTTATGACGGTTGCAGTGTCCAGGGGTCACGCGATCACCTTTTGTGACCTTCTGATAAGCAAAGTTAATAGGGAAACCAGATTCACCTAACAGCCCTGTTATTAACCTAACAACTGCAGTGATTCACTTAACAACTGTGGCAAGAAAGGTCATAAAATGGGGCAAAACTCACTTAACAACTCTCTGAGCCAGAGAAATTTTGGGCTCAATTGTGGTCGTAAGTTGAGGACTACCTGTACATAAAAATAAAAGGAGAGCTCATAGCAAAAAACTATTTTTTGTTTAAAGAAAACCCCATCATTATTTCTTGGAGGAAAAACAAATTAATTCTGAGAAATAAGTAAAAATTACAGCTATGCCTTGTTTTGCAACTACCTTAGTTGGCGACTATTTGCAAGTACAACGGTAATAAACAGTATTAAAAATACATTTTCCCAGCGTGTGTGCCTGACAACGGAAGTCATCAATGTAAAACTGATTTAAGAGTTGGTCAGTTTCAGGTTCTAATCAGCTAATTAAGGTCACAGAACTGAGCCTAGTTAACTTGCAGTTAGCATGTTTTAGGAAACACTGGGTTGGGGACAAAGGCAGTTCAGCAAGAAATCACTTGCTTAAGCAATCTCTCCATTCTGTGAAGAGGCGAAAAAAGGGGGGGGGGGGAAATGGTTGGACACAGGACACTGTACATCTCCCTCCCTTCCTCTCTCTCCCTCTCTCTCTATATTCACAGTGTCTATTTTGCTTAACAACTGTTGAAATGGAATGCACTTGTTAAATGAGATTGTATAATCATGGCTGCAGTTCAAGAAGCAAAAGAGAATCTGCGGGGAAAGAGAAAAATATAAGGGGTTTTGAAGGTCCTGAGTTTTATGGGGAGGGAAACTATGGTGATTTTATTGCAACCACTTCAACTGTCATCTCCCCCATGACTGTCCGCCCGGAGGCAACACTTACGAATGTCTTCTAAGTCGAGGTCATCGTAGAGAAACTCATTCTCCTCAAAATCGGGGTCCTGCGAAGAATCTACNTGGTCATTTCCCTTTTCTAGGATTGTGGTATCAATTTCAGCCCATGATGCTAAAAAATGAATATCAGTTGGTCTTACCTGTACTGCATTTCTCGAAGTCTTGTGGGATGAGTCACTGATGGGTTATTCTCATGTCCAATCTGCCCAGAGACTGAGGTTAAAGTTGAGGCCACTCCCCTCTACTTCCTCTGCATAGCTCCAGTTTAATCGAAGGTTAGTGCTCCAAGGAAGAACCTGGGAAGGAAGGGTAAAGGAAAGACAACACCCAACCCCAGGACCCTGACTGACCAAAACAGCCACTAAACCTGGTTCAGGACCCTTCATGTTATCAAGACACTCTAACTAGGGAGGGAAGTGACTCATCCCACAAGACTTCGAGAAATGCAGTTCAGGTAAGACCAACTGACATTCTCTAAAGTAGCTTGTGGGAAGGAGTCACTGATGGGACATACCAAAGCTGATGTCCGTGGGAGGGAATCAATGGGCCTGAGCCTCTCGAGTGTCCAGCAGTCCCTGCAGTAACCTCCTGCCAAAAGAGGCCTCAGCTGAAGCGTAGGTGTCCAGCCGGTAGTGCCTGATGAAAGGTGAGGGCAAAGCCTAGGTGGCCGCCCTACAAATATCCTCAATGGGTGCCTGAGTCAACCAGGCCGCAGATGTGGCCACACTCCTAGTGGAGTGTGCCATGATGCCAGCTGGCACCGAAAGTCTATGTGCCTCATGTGCCCTAGTAATGGCTAACCTAATCCATCTGCCGATGGTAGAGGGTGACACCCTTGCCCCTAGGGTAGAGGGCTGGAAGGAGACGAAGAGTGCCTCCGATCTCCTGAAGGCAGAGGTGCGTTTCAGGTAGATACGCAGTGCCCTTCTTACATCCAGGAGATACCAGGAACGTTCCCTCTCCCTGGAGGGCGCCGGACAGAAGTCCGGGAGAACCACCTCCTGCGCCCTATGAAAAGGGAAGTTAATCTTAGGCAAGAACAAAGGGTCCAGCCTGAGAACAAGCCTGTTGTCGTGAAAGGTGCACAGGTCAGCCCTAGATGACAGTGCGCTGAGCTCAGATATGCGCCTGGTGGAGATAATCTCCACCAGCAAAACAACCTCAAGGGCTCGAATGGAGCCTCTGTCAGCGCCTGAAGAACTGTGGGTAAGTCCCATGTGGGAAACCGGTGAACCGGGGGGGGGGGGGGTTAAGGTTTGCCGCCCCCCGAAGAAACCTCTTAATCACCAGGTGTTGGGCTAGGGAACGACACCCCCCCCCAAGAACGGTCGCCAATGCTGACACCTGTCTCCCGAGGGTGCTGTGGGAAAGGCCTTTCTCAAGACCATCCTGAAGGAACTCCAGCACCTGAGGCGCCGAAGCCATCGCTGGGTCCACCTGCACAGACCAGCACCAGGACATAAAGGAGGACTATGTAACATTGTAAACGTGGATGGTGGATTGCCTCTGAGACGCCTTGATATTCCTGATCACTCTGGCCGAGAAATTGGTTGCCCTCAACTGTTCCCGCTCAAGTGCCAGGCAGTCAATTGAAGCCACTGGGGCTCCGGATGACTCAGGATCCCCTGACGCAGGGCCACCTCACCACCTGGGAATCCTCCAATGGGGGGACACGGATAGGTCTATCAGATCCGCAAACCAAGGCTGTCTGGGGCAGTAGGGAGCCACTACGATCACCTCTGCTCCTTCCGCCACTAACTTCCTCAGGACCCCAGGAATGAGGGGAAAGGAGGGAAAGGCATAGGAGTCCTTCTGGCCATCTGCATCGAAGATTGTTGATGTCCTCTGCTTGAGTTGGAAACCGGGAGATGAACCTCTGGACCTGTGTGTTCAATGGTATGTTGAACAAGTCCACAACGGGTCTGCCGAACCTCTGGCAAATCTTGGCAAAGACTCTGGGATGCAGCTGCCACTCCCCGTGGTCCACGGTCACCCAGCTGAGGCAGTCGGCTTGCTGGTTTTCCACTGCTGAGATATGCTCTTGTTGTGGTCCAGCAAGAGCCGTTGGAGCTGCCACCAGACTCCGACAGTGAGGGGCCCTATGAGTCGGCTCTGGAAGATGTGGAGGACCCTGGACAGGTTTCCGACTCCGAGCAGGGCGCAGAGAGGTTGGTTGGCTACCAGGAGGCGCCTGAGGCCTGGAGCAGCAGTGAGAGCCAAAGGGAGCGTGCTCCCGAAGTCAAGCCTTGGAGCAGTGGGGAGGAGACAAGGGAGTTGTTCCTGGATGCCCGGCAATGGAGAGCTAATAGGCGTAAAGAACAGTTCTGCAGTTACAGGAGATAATTGAACTCAGCTGGTGGTAATTAGGCTCCTCTCAAGACTATAAAAGGAATGACTTTCCACATGCTCGTCGCAGGAATCAACGTATTTACTAGAGCTGCAGAAGCTATCGTGGCTAGCTTGGCAGGCTGGATTGCTGCCAAAGTTAGTCTGTACTGGATTGCTGCCAATGTCTAGTCTGTGCTGGATTGCTGCCAAGATCTAGTCTAATAAATCCTTG